TCAGCATTATGTCATCATGAATTTGAGTTTCTGTTTATTACAAATGGTAAAAAGTTTTTGTACTATACCAACATTAGTTTTGATAGTTCCAAGTACTGCAGATTTCTAACCCTGAGACCAATAATCTTTGCTCTGGAAATTAAATGTATTTAAAAGTGGTAAGAAAAAGTTTTAAGTTTTATATTTTGCATGCTTTAGGAGGTAAGTTTTGCTTATTGACTCGCACTCCTCTAAATTTAAGAGATTGGTAACAACTATTTATATACTCAACCAGTATGAGATTTTGAGTATTTCCATCTTAAGTTAGAAAAAGATTTTGCAAGCATTTATACTCTCAATGGTATTAGGGTCCATTACAGTGTAAAGTTCAAAAATTGCTAGAAAGGGAATATAAAATTAAGAACATACTCCTTGGGCTAACATTAAAGACCACCAAAATTAATCTCTATGCTTTTCTTTCCAGTACTGTTACCCTTTATTGCAACAAAAATTGCTAGATGTTCTTTTCTTTGTCTTCTCTATACTCAAAGTCATTGTTTGCATATAAATTTTCCCCTCCCTCTATAATATCATTCTCAGCCTGCACACCATCCATTTAACTTATCAAAATCAACTTACTTCAAGAATTCCTCTCAATTGCTGAAACACAAATCAAATTTTGTCTTGTAGAAAGATATTGGCTCTTGATCTCTCCTTATCTTCTGGCATCTGACACTAATAGTTATCTAAATATGTATGATATGTGTACATAATGACATACTATTCAGTCCTGTCTATGTGTAGCTTATTTCCTCTCACAGAGAATCATTATTGAAGATAGAAACACTTTCATGTCTATCTCCTTAGACCTGAGGGGAATATAATGTATATTTTATAGATGCTTAACATTTTTGACTAATCACAAATTTTAATTATTCAGAACCATCATTTTAAGACTGAGTATCTCTCCTTCCTTCCTTCCTTCCTTCCTTCCTTCCTTAGCTCTGGTAAATTTTTAGGTTATTGCATTTTCTTGAGATATGTGAATAAAGGACACAGGCACACAAAATCCAGTTGAGTTTTGGTTTATGGGGATCTAATTCTCCCAGATTTTACTATACATTATTTGGAACTCCAAGTGCTTTCAGTGCGACCAAAGTGAAATCTATTTTGATTTATTCTAGACATATATTATTTAATGTCTAATGAATACTGATTCATCTGACCATTCTCATCTCTTGACAATTTTTAATGTTATAGTTTGCAAAATATTCTCAGTACTTCAGAAAATGTAATTTCAACTGTTAAAGTTCAACATTACTATAGTTATTGGCAATATTAAATAATTTTTGCTGCTGTGTTGATGTTCACTGCAGCCTAAATTTCAGGTCATGGAATGTTATTAATATATGGTTGGAAATAATTTCTGGATCAATGAATCAATGTTATCTTAATATTCTGTGTCTTTAATTTTCATACCACTTTTATTTTCTGAGTGGATTTTATAAGAGGAAGGTGCTTTGTGTTGCCTTCATTATCTTGGGATTTTATCCCTAGTTGAATTTCTTTTGTGATCAAAGGGCAGAGAGAACACCTCCTGAATTATTGAACTGTGTTGATTTGATGGGCAGGTCACACACATTAAAGTAAAAAGGGAGAAACTTTCTCTTCAAAAACCTACTTGAAGATATTTTACCAAAAAGCTAGATTTCATGGCAGAAACAACTAATCCTACTACTTCAATAGAGGTAGTCTATTTTTCTATGTGCATATATAATTGTGTTTATACATATGCACGCATCTAAGTATTTTGGTAGGTTGGCTCTATTCTCTATGGTTGATAACAATCGAGGCTTAGACCCACAAAATGCTTAAACATTTATAGACTGTTTTCCACAAACACTGTATTAGTTGACTTTTAGAACTGGAACAATTTAGAATGAATAATTTATGACTCAAAGGCTTAAAGAGAATCATAGACTCTGGAGTGCATAACTCATTTGTGGGAGAGTAGATATTTGAGCCTAAGACAAGTACCAATCTGTCACCCCACACCTATACTGGTTAACTACCATTTTACACATTTTTCTGCCATTCTTCTCATTTCAACTTAATGTCAGGTCATGTATTTATAATGTGCATGTTGTGGGGAGAGGCATTGATAAGGGAATGATGAGGAATTACTAAGAGTAAATTCACAAATAATAGGAAAAAAGGGAGAAAATTTCTAATTATTATTGTTATTAACATGTTAATGACATTAACGAACTTGTCCTTTCTCCTGCTCCTTAAGGACAATTCAGGCCTACTCAGTCAATTTGGGCACCTCCTTCTAAATCCTTCCCTAGGAGCAGGATTTTCCTTTTTCAGATTTGACATTGAGGAAGGTAGAAAGAGGAGACCACATTAAAGAGGAATCTGAAGTAAAAAGGCAAGAAACATAGCCAACGTGAGAATGATACCTCTGGTTCATTTGGTAATATTGCTCTAGTGGAAAATTGGAGTGTGGGTTTAGAGTAACAGATTTGGGAATATTAAAGCCATGGGTGTATGTGATCATTCAAGCAGAATATACAGGGAAAATAAAAAGAGCAAAGTATGGACTTGGAAACCATAGTCTCCGTGAAAGATAGGTACAGAGAAGTCTGTGAAAGAGGACACCATGGCTATTCTTCACAAAATTTAGTTTTAAAATGAAATGTTCACATGAGAATGAGAGTTTTTCTTTTATTATTTTTTAAGATAAATATATGACCTACTTATGCATCACTGAAGTCAGATAAAGAATTGCACAAAACTATGGTAATGAGATATAACTAACTTTCAAAGATTTGATGAATATGTTCATATTATTAATCACACACTAATGTAATTTTTGTTAAAAATGTAGTAGTATTTGCAAAATGTCAGTATGTAATAAAAGATAGCATTTAGTACATTAAATTGATTATTCTAAGCTTGAAACAAATATCAATATTCAAATTCATTCAATGTGTATCACTTATACTATAATTTTTTTATAAAATGAAAAGTAGAGCAATACTTTTCATTTTATACTTTTATTTAAAAGTAAACATAATATGTAATCTTATCCATTTCAACAGGTCAAATTTTGTTATTAATACTAATGAAAGCACATTTCTGTATAGTTAATCTTCAAGGCCCTTATCAAATTTCATTCTTTCTTTGGGGACTTTAAACATCTACTAAATAGGAATTAACTTGACTCTCCTAAACTCTTATCTAAACAAAAAAGTGGTATATTTTAATAAATACATAGCACATATATGTGTTCTTCTAAAAAATATACATATATATTCATTTAAAAATACAAATGCAGGGTTTTACTTAAATTCTGTCTCATTATCTGTATAGATAATACATTTTACACAAATACAGGATTTTACTCCAATTCTCTTTCATAACCTGATTTTTTTTTTAAGATTTTATTTATTTATTTGAGAGAGAGACAGACACACAGAGCATGAGCAAGAAAGAGGAGACAGAGGGAGAGGGAGAGGGAGAAGCCAATTCCCTGCTGAGCAGGGAGCCCGACACAGAGCCCGATTCCAGGACCCTGAGATCATGACCTGAGCCAAAGGCAGACGGTTAACTGACTGAGCCACCCAGGTGCCCCACATAACCTGATTGTTAATCTCTGAAGAAATATCTTATTTTTTCATGATCTTATTCTTCTATGATCCTATTTTCTTATGAAAAAATTTTCAAGGTTAAGTTGTATTTTTTCTGATTATATGAAAAACATCCAGTATGAAAACATCAGAAAAAAAAGTAAAAAAAAAAAACAAAAATAAAATAATCATATTCTTCTGCCTTTTCTCCATAAACAGACAAATGTTATGTTATTTAAACATAACATTTAAACTGCTTTTATAAATTTAAAAATATCCTTATTCTTTCTTTCATAAGTATTCTAAATCATTTTAATAGTTCTATAGAATTTCACAGTTTGAACAAAAATCTATTTTATAAGTTCAGTGCAGTTAAGTATTTGGGTTGTTTATCATTTTCATTGCTACTAAAACAGATTATGAGAAACATCCTTTGCTCACATCTTTTCAGATATTCTTAATTTTCCCCCTTTCATTGTCACTAGGTATAGAATCACTGTGACAAAAGGAAGGATTATTACATATTTGATAGGTAGAATAAGTACTTATTGCATATTCTTTACATCTTTTTGATAGCACTTGCCCTTCTAGGCTTAATTAGCTTACCTTCTTTGTTAATATTTAAATCTGTGGAAGGCAGAAATTATATGTAAATTAACATGTGTGTTGGCCTAGTATGTAAGTCTTGCAAATTTAAAAAATTAAGTTGTGTAACATTTGTTTTCCATTCTTTAAATCTATAGCCTATTCTATTCAGCCCACAAAAGCTTCATATTGAGGTCCCTAAATGATGCTTACCTTCTGGCTTAAGAATTCATGAAGGTACATACATGGAGAACCATAATTAGAATATGTGTATGTCTGACCCTTACCTCTGATCTCATGTCATTCAGAAACCAGAAGTCAAGGAGTCTTTTGAGTTACTGGGTTATCTACTTGCTCTAATTGCATGATTTTGGAAGTGACAAAATTTGGAGTCCTCATAGCTAACTCAGCCCTCCTGTGCCTGTCATGAAGGCTACAGAACAGTCAGTCAATTTCAAATGCTTAATGTTAACTCTGTTCCCACTGGTCACTTCTGGAAATAGGCTTTCTTCTTAACCCCCAAACACTGTATGAAATTTCATCTTTCGTTCTACTTACAGTTCAGGCATTTTGACACCCAGTTCAGAAAGAAACCCATTCAGAGTTACCTGTTTGATCACTTAAAGAGGAAAAAATATATTCATTGACTTTAAAGTACGATAGAATTTTACAGCTATAATATTTTGAAGAAATGCAGTATTCCAGTATTTTAAGAGGGTAAAAATCTTGCTGGAGTTGTCTTCTGAGTTCCACGGGTAAAAATCAGAAAGATGCACCCATTATATCTTGGAGAACTGTACTCACCTGGAGCGAAAGCCCATCACTTCCTTCAATGCTGGTGCCAACATGCTGTCAGTCAGACACCCTTAACTGGAGTATCACCGGCCAGGAACTGCTTGTTTTTATTCCCACCTGGAACAAAATACGAATTTCAATCTTTTTTTTTTTTAAATGTTCATTCAAGCACAGTAAGATATTCATTATGTTATCTTTCCTTGTCACATCACACACCCATTTATCAGAATGTTCAACACAAAGGAGAGAAGTGTAAACTCTTCACCCCTATCATTTATACCGCAATGATTAATATAGCAGCTGTTTAAGTCAAAGGGACGTCTATATTTTCTCTCCTATAATATATTCTTTATAAAGGATTATTATTTCAGTGCCAGCATTTCTATCCATTTGGTTTAAGTAATTGGTGTGTTAATTTAGGAAGCCATTTTCTACATATTGTCCTTGGAGACTGTAAATCAAAATACCTTAAACCCCAGAAAGTTCGTTGAAAATATTGCATCCTGAATTTTTTTAACACCACCAAAAGAAATCTCAGTAGGAAGCAATTTAGTAACACAACAGTTTTATGCCTTTACTACTTTATAGTCTTCAGCTTGTGAGACTCTGATGAAGAACACACATGATTCCTCAAAGGCACCAGAGTGTTGTTACTATGAGACATTACATGAAAATACAGATTTTGACCAGATGATGGAATCGGAGACTTAAACAAAACCTCCTAGCTGGGCTGCCTGTGTATGAAAGGGATGTGACGGTCCTTTACTTGTCATAACGGAAGCCACTTGACCTTCAGCACTCTCAGCCTTGCTCCAGTCTGGTGCACAGTTGGATGGTTTAAGAAAACACAAGAAATCCAACAACATGCCCTTCTTGTTGCAGTCTGTCCCAGGCAGCTCTCGTTTTGCCTTTGCCCTTGCCCCCTTCTCTGGCCTTCGGAGTCTGACTCTGAATTGAATCTCATGGTGGGGATCCTGTTACTTGCTGACCTTCCTCTGAGGCTTGCTGCCTTACCTTCATCCTCAGAACCAGGCTGATATTGCCCTACTGTTTGATCCACCAGTCAGGGGAACCTCTAACCTCTTGTACTCAATTTGTACCCATCACTTGTTTGAATCACGACCTGATATCTGGCACCACCCTCTCTGAATGAATAGTGTGGTTCCATGTACTTCAACACTAGCAGTGAAACCTATTCCCTTTCTGGTGTCAAGTTTGAACCTCTCCTTTTGTCTCATTTTGCTTTAAATTTAAGAGATTCTCCTATGCAGTGTAACATAAAGGTGCCAGAGAAACCCATTTTCTTTCCGTAATAGAAGTCATATCTTAAGAGTGAATATTGTTCTTTCCTTGTAGCCGTCTTAAAATTCAGACTTTTCTCCTCTCCCTCTGGAATCCATTTCACCCCCTTTATTTCTGCTGCAACTGACACAATAAGCTCTCATTAGCTCTCATTCAGATAGTAACAATGACTTCTTAAATGTCGGTCTAATGCCAACTGAAAACAGATGGCACTTTCAAATTAGAATAATTGAGGAGAGTCCAATAAAGAACCTATTACAAAACTGGGGGCTATATGTTGGGAAACCGCAAGGGAAGGTGCCACCCTGAGGCTGGGAGAGATGAGAACAGGGGGCAGTTACTACCATCTAGGAGTCAGATGTATGGAGTCAGATGTATATAGGTCCCTGGGCAGAAATAGTGATCTTCGGTTGGGAGTCCCGGGTAGCACAAGATGACAGGACATGAGGCAGCGCTAAGATAAACCACACTCATCTTCTCCCTTCTCTCTGGTTTCCTATCTATCCTACCTACAGGACAAACCACTCTGGACTCCCAAGGTCACAGAGTCTCTTGATGAATTCCATCCAGACTAGTTTCCAGTGTTAGAGAGTAGGATGGAGAAAAGTAAAGAGTGACTCTGAAAGGAGAATAAGAGAAGTTCAGCAAACACTTGTTCATACTTCAAAGCACGGGGTTTGGAATCAAATGTAGGTTTGACTCCTATGTGTGTAACTAGATAAATTTTTATAATTCTTGATATCATTATCTGTATGATTCAGATAACATACCTCAGAGTTTTATTGTTAGAATTAAATGGCATAACATACCTAATACATACATATCTACCAAGTAGTTAGTATTAGCTACAGTGGCAATAATTCTTCTCAAAATGACAAAAATCCAAGTTAAACACTCTCCAGCCATACTAAACTCTTCAACATTTGTAATGGGCAGTGTATTTTCAGATTGTTCACAACTGCTATTCTTTCTGTTTAAGAAGTTTGTTTTCTTTCCCTTCCCTCCCTGTTGCCAGAGAATCCCTACTCATATTTTAAAATCCATGAAATGACCTAAAGGTTTTCTTCAGTTTGGGTAATAGGAGATCATTTCCCTTTTTTTTTTTTGGGGGGGGGGGTCTTTCCATGGCACATGTCATTCTGCAAAGCAGTCAGACTGTGCCACCTTCCTACTTGACTATGAGTTCCTTAAAGGAAAGTTTATGTCTGACAAATTCATAGCCTCAGAAGATGGCTCATCGCCATGTTCTTAGTAGATATTCAATAAACATTAAGTCAATAAATGTGCATTACTAGAGAAAATCTGTTACAATGTAAGGAAATAGTTTGTTAAATGGTTTCCTCCTTGCCCAAAGGACAGATCAGTCTGTAACATGGGAGGTGGTGGGGAGTAAGATTATCATGGAAAGTCGAGACAACCAAAGAGATCCTAAGGGAAACTTCAAATAGCTCTGCAAGTTCACTCTGGGACAGCTCTGCAGGAAACTTTACCTCATTCATTTCAAGGCTGCCAGACCTGTTAGTACTGATTGATTTCAAGCATATAATTACTAACTTATAAACTACCTAGGTAACTGAATACAAACATCTCTTAAGTATCTGATGAATTTAAGTGATAAGTGGAATTGTCAACATTTCCTCAAGACTAATCCAACATTTCCCCCCTGCAATTTAAAACATATGTATTTATTGTTTTGTGAATAGATAATACACTTAGATGAATACAGGCCTCACAAAATGCTACACAGGACTAAGTCTTTCTGTCACCCTTGCCTCCATCTTCTCCTTATGCCACCTTCAACGAGACCAACTTTATTGGCATCTTAGGATTCATGCAAAATTTCCTTCTACAAATACATGAAAGTATGTATATTATTCCCCACCCCACCTTCATTTAAACAAAGAAAAAAGATCACACTCTTTGCCCACTTTAATAGGCCTCACCTTTCTCCCCAGCCCACCAAAAGTGGAATTTTATATTAGTAAATAAACAGCATCTTCTTTGTAGTCAGCTGTCTTTCTATTGCTCCGATGGACCTGAAATTATTTACTACACCCCAAGATTTTTATTTTTCAAAACTCTTATTATTCTTGAGATTAAAAAAAAAAAAGTTTGTTAATTTGTGTCTTAGAGGTAGATCTCTAGGTTAAAATCCTATGAGTGTGTAAATGCATTTATTTGTAACTTTCAAAAATGTTGCCAAATTTCCATCCTTGAAAATAGAGCCAACTAATGCTACCATCACCACCTTCCGCTTGGGTGGACAGACTTCTAGATTCTTGAAAATCTGATAGGTGAAAAATTTTATTTCTGTCATTTTAATGAGCATTTTAAAAATTATGATGGAGGTTAAATATCTCCTTATGTTATTTAAGGGATATTACGTATCTTTTTGTATGAAATTTCTATTAATATCCTTTACAATTTTTACATTTCAAGTACAATTTAATGCATTCTTTCTCATTCTATGTACTTCCTCAATGAAGCAAAGTCATTAACGACATGAGCACATTCCTCTACGTTAACGTTTTTAAAAGCTTGCGCTCCCAAGCTCCTCGCAATCTTACACTGGAAAGCTAAACCTCACAAAGAGGTCCCACAGCGCACTCTGGTGGCAGCTAGCTCCATCACACCTTCCCTGCATTAACTCTTGGGGCAAAAACTATCGTCAATAAAGCTTGTTATCAAACTCTTCCTTAACCTCTAAGCCTAGCGTTAGTCTCCTCACCTTAGAGACAATAACGAATTGTACCCAGCCGAAAAAGAAGGAGACAGTAGAGCTACGTCAGCCCTCCAGAAACCAAGCTTGTGCCTGTAAATTGCTAGGTATCGAATAAGCAGGATTCATTTCTTTTCTAGTCAGCTTGCCAGCCCACTCGGTTGCTATAAAAATGACCCTGGAGTATCTTATCTGGTCTTGGGCTGCAGTACAAGGCTTGTTGCAAGAAGTCAGGCTCTGCTTCACTCTTCCCTGTACATCAGTGAAGTCAAAAGAGCTATCCTCACTCTTTAGAATTCCATGTAATCAAAACATCACAAAGTTCAGGCAGAAGCCTGAAATTCCCTCATTCCACAAGTATTTCAAATATATAAGCACTATTCTAAGCGCTTGTGATTATGTTTAGAGAACAAAATAAACCAAAAAAAAAAAAATCTGTCTTCTTGGAATGTACCTTCTAGTGGGAGGATGTAATCAGGAAGAGTGTAATTAACAAGTAACATGTTTATATTGCAAGATGTGGAGACTATGTGGGGTGAGAGGTGGAGTGCATGTTCCTCTTTAATCTAGAGAAATAAATAAATGGTAGGTCTCTTTGGGTGAAGATTTGAAGTTGTGGAAACTATGTGGTTCACAGCAGAAGAAACCTTCTAGAACATGGCAGGGGTCCTAAGGCCATGGTCCTGCAGTGGACACCTGAAAGATGCCTTTTCAGGATTCATAGACCTTTTCACCCAGCTGCTGGGAGTGCTGTTAACTGCAGGCTCTAATCTTACCTGGAATTGCCTGAAGCTCACAGAGTCCTCACTCAAATGCAGCCTGCACTCGATTACAGATGTTGAGTGCGCATGAAGGGGTGGCTTAGGGCCACAATACAGGATAGCTCTCTGCACTGTTGGAAGAAACCTTTGTTGAGTCTACATTGCAGCCCATCTTCTATTTGCTCATTCCTTCTTTCTTCCCTTCTCTTTCACACAACCTGATCCCAAAACACTCCTTATAAACTTCCGGCATGCTAACTTCTGCCCCTATCTGCTTTTATCTAGAGCAGCGAGGTAGCCATTATGTAGCTCATAACTTGACACAGCAACTCATT